TGTGTGTGGAAAAATAGTCGATATGCTTTCCAGCTCCTAAGCCGGCGACCTTCCCACCAAAAATTTAGAGTGCCTGTAAATGAAAATAGAATTTGAAACTTTGGATGGGAAATATCCTCCCAAATCTCAACTTCTCAGTTTTCCAGCTTTCAGGCTAGTGACTTTCGCATTAAAACTCCCACATGGTCGTATTTAAGGCCTTGGCATGCTTGGGAGCTGTATTTGAGTTTCTGAGGTGTCTGCACATACACAAAACATCCTCCTGAAATTTTCAGCTGTTTTGGCTCCCGAGAAAATAAATTTTTTCGACAAAGCTTTTGCGGAGTTGCGCAAGAGACCAAGATGTACATGAAAGCTACATTTGATTCTACGAGGTAATCCCCCAAAATTTCAACTTCCTGTCTTTTATGGCTTCCGAGATAATAATTATTCCTACCGAAACTTTCGTGGGGGTATATTGAGACCCATGCTTGACTGAGGACTGATTTTGAATTTATGAAGTCGCACGAGAGCAAAAACATTCTCGTTAAGTTTCAGCTTCCTTGCTTTTACGGCTCTCTAAATTGTCCTGAGAGAGACGCTTGAATATCGCGCCAAAGCCTTTATGGAGCCATAAGTGATACTCAAGCGTACGGAAAAGCTGAATTTAAATTTTCTGGGTCGCACATGGCCAGGGAACATATCTATAAAATTTCAGCTTCCTAGCTCCCGTGGTTCCCAAGATAATAATTTCCTCGCTAAAACAATCACGAAGCCGTAGGTGTTATCCGCGAGTACGAGAAGACTTAATTTAAATTTGCGGGGTTGTACGTGGGTAGGACACAATCCTCTAAAATCCCAGCCGCCTAGTTTTTGTGGTTCTCGAGTTGAAAGTGTGGGACAAAGCGCACCTGGACACACACACACACACACACACACACACACACACACACACACACGCATACACACACTCACATACAACACACACAGACAACCCCGTGACAATATGCGTTTTATGCTGCTGTTACGCAGCGCAAAACGTATAAAAACCCCCTCGTGTTCATTGTCAGTGGGAGATGAGGCACTTGAGAAATAGCCCGAGTCGTGACAAATGCCAGCATTAATAAGCGGCTGGCGAGACTGTTGATAGCTTCCTCTTCCAAGGACTGCTTACAAGCAAACTGATGGCTGGTTTCGTAATCCTCTTTTTATGCGTTTTTTGCAGCAATGCAATGCGAAAAACGCAAATTGACGAGAGGTTGTCTGTGTGTGTCTGTGTGTGTGTTTGTGTGTGTGTGTATGTGTGTCTGTGTGTGCGCTGGGCCTCTGTACCGATTTTTCATCTCGAGACC